AAAAAAAAAAAAAAAAAAAAAAAAGAGAGAGAAAACACTGGCCATACACTGATGACTGTTAAAGCTGTTCGTTATACCATTCTGTCTACTTTCATGCGTTTCTGTTAAGAAAAATTCGTTAAGAAAATGTGAGGCGAGAGGGAGGAACAGGGTAGAGATGTTTTAGCATCACAAATAATTCATAAATACAGGCATAAATCATTGAACAAGTGCTTGGGAAGCAAGCCCCAAACTAAGTGAAGTTTGTTGCGTCCAACTTTTTAGGGAGAAACTACAGAAACAAGTTTGTCAGGAGATATTTATATTTCAAATACTTCTTGAAGCATAAAAAGGTATGCTATTATTATAAGAAAGATTTGACTGCCTTCCAGAAAAAAATCTCAGATACAGCAAGGGTTTCCCAAAGCTTACACCAGTAAAGCAACAGGAACCATGTTTGATGACACTAACCAAAGTCCATGTTGTTAACAACTATTAAATCTGAGGGCAGAGGACAGCTGAAGGCACTCACTATTTTTCCTCATCATGCAACAATAGTTTCTGCAGTAAGATATCCAAGAGAATACACACTATTCCTGGAGCTTTTTTTTTTTCTTAAACTTTTTTTTATTTTTATTGGGGAACAGTATGTTTTTCCAGGACCCATCAGCTCCAACTCAAGTAGTTGTTTCAATCTAGTTGTGGAGAGCACATCTCAGTGGCCCATGTGGGGATCGAAACGGCAACCTTGGTGTTACGAGCACTGCGCTCTAACCACATGAGCTAACTGGCCACCCCTGCCTGGAGCTTGTAATAAGAGTATTTAATTACATGGGAACAATTTCTCTGTTCGCCTGTCTACTAAAAAAATTTCCCCAAGAGAAAAGTCTTTACCTTCTGAACTTGAAAGAAATTTTTTTTTTTTTAGCTGAGCCATCCTGCCACCTGTTGGCAGCTCAGTGGCTGCTCAGCTCGGGCCAGGACTCGAACCGCTGTTGCTCAGAGCTCAAACTCTTGAGCGAGCTCTTAACCAACTGAGCCACTCGGCCAGCCCTAAGAATTATTTTTTAATTTTGAAAATTTACAAACCCTCAGAAAAGTTTTAATAGTTTAATAAACACCTAGATTTGCCATTTTTTGTTTTTTAAGATTTTTATTGGGGAATTGGGGGGATAGGAACAGCGCTGGGGAATTGGGGGAAGGGGAACAGACAGGTTGCTGTCCTTTTGTTCTTCAGTCTAGCTGTGGAGGACGTTGCTTCACTGGCCCAAGTTGGCACCTTCATTGCGCTCTTCCCGGGCGAGGCAGATCAGTCACCGGCTTCTGGACAGCCTCTTACTGCGGCTGCTGGCCGCTCACGCTGGCTGCTGGCTACACATGGTAGCCCATGGCAACCCACTGCCACAGGGGCTGCAGCCCACGCCGTCGCCGGCGACTCAGGGCAGCCCAGCTCCAGGTTGAGCTGTTGTTCAGCATCTTAGCTGCAGAGGGCAGTGTCACTGGCCCTCATATGTGGGATCCAAACCGGGGCCCTCTGGCGTCCCAAGCCAGCTCTTAAATAACACGTCACTTGGCCAGCCCTAGATTTGCCATTGTTCTTCTCTCCTCTTCCTCTTCCTCTTCCCTTCTCTTCTTCTCTCTCTCTTCTCTTCTCTTCCTCCCTCCCTCCCTCCCTCCCTTCCTTCCACTGAACCATTTGCAAGTTAATGGCAGCCATCATGCTACTTCATTGCTAGAAACTCCAGCATGTACCTGCCTAAGAACAAGGGCATTCTCCTGCATAACTTCAATACAATGATCACACTTGGGAATGTTAACATGGATACATTACTATTATTTAATATAGTCAGTATTCAAATTTCCCCAACTGTCTCAATAATGTCCTTTACAGTTGTTTCTATGCAGTATTTTAAACAGCATTAAAACATGCTGCTTGAGGATGTTAGAACACCAAAAAACAGAAGTATAGAGATTGCGATAAAGAATTACAAAGGTGGAAATTCAGCCTAGTTCCCCAATGCCTGATTAAACTGGATTTAAGAGAATCAGAAGAGCTCAGTGATTCTCAAACAGTTATTTCAAATGCTTTCACAGAAAAATATAATCATGCATCTAATTCTAGAAAGTATTTTAACTCCAATGTCTCTGGTAACCACTTTAAGAGTTACTTTCCTTGACAGTCCTGGCTCATAAAAACAGAGAATCGACATCTCCTGGGGCCCATGTATGGGACCCACAGGATTAGAAACACACTGTGGGGAAGAAAGCAGGACCTCACCTCAGCATGGACAGAGTTGATGTGATACTTGACACCACTCTCTGACACAAATTCTTTTTGACATAGAAGACACTTGTATTTTCCAGCCACAAAGTTTCCCTGTTTTCAAGGGAGAAAAAACAGAGAATTATTGGTAAATTCAGGAATACATACCTGGGGCCAGATGGGGGGATTGTCTGAGATGAAAAGAGGGGATTCTACTTCAGCAAAGGCAAACAGGAAGAAAATCCGAAACAACAATATGTTTAGGAAAACCAGCTTGGGCAGACTATCACCACTACGAATCTATCCTAACGCAATTCTATCCCACCCCACCCCACCCACCCCCTTCAACAAGACCAGGAGTTCTCCTACTTATGTAACATATCGTATTTTTCTATCTTCCCTTATTTCCTTCACTTCACTTCCAAGTTCTCTTGGTTCCTCCCCCAAAATGATCAAGCTCCTGAAATTCACAAGAGGCACCAACATGCAGTTCTTCCCACTCCAATTCATTGCTGCCAAGAGTGCCTTGGAAATCCAGAATTAGAAGAGTACCGTCCATGATACCTAGTTTAAAGACTCAGAAACTAAGATCAAGAGGACAAACTCCTAAGCATTCCTGGACAGATCTGGTTTGGAGGCCTACAACTCCCTGTTGCTTTGAACTGAGACTTCTCTCCCCTCCTGAAGCTTCAGGCTTCCATAGTGCTCATTTTGTGTGAGGAGATACTTCTGAAAGGGATTGGAAAGTGGCAGCAATCCCCAAGGCTGGTGAGTTGTAGGGCACCTGGGTCAACGTGGAAAAAATTCAGTGAGGTGAATGGCTGTTAGCCTGACACCCAGGGATCCCACCTCCCATCCCGAGGCCAGTATAGTTCAGATGGGTTTAGAGGATCTTTACCAATCCAGATAAGTACATGTAAGTTGATTCTAGAAAGTTTAAGACCCAATAAGACAGGGCAGGTCCAGCGTGGAACAAGTTCAGGTGGAAGACGTTAAGTCCCTGGTAGGGATTCAGAACTGATAGATATTCTTCAAATTCTTTCATTGATATGACATATGGTTACGTTTTGGCCTTCTCTGTATCTTAGACATACCCTGGCATCCCACCCAATAACAGACCAAGATTCTTTGGGTCATAAAAAACTAAACCAGCCTCTGAAGATAAAAGAAAACAGGACAACTAGCTGTTCACCTAAACTGAATTCTCTTCTATATCAGACTATTTTAGAGGTCATGTTAAGATAAATAGTTCAGAAAGTTACACACCAATGTACAAGAGCCCAGGTGAGCTTTAAGGCCAGATACACTACTGTAGACAGCCTCACAACCCTGAAAAAAAGAAGAAATAACATGAGGACTTTATGAAACAGAATCCTTCTCTTAGCAATCTGGTCATTTGCACTGACCAACTCTACATATGGAGAAGGAAGCCCAAAAAATTGTCCCACAAACCAAACAAAAATAAATCACATGCAAGCCACAAAAGCAAGGAGGAAAACCAACAAAAGGTAATAGGAAATGAGGTGAACAAGTTGTTTATAAAAGCTGAAGACAGTCCCTTCCCCTGATACTTTTTCTGACAGAGAAACACAGAACATTATATGGTTAGCTTTTTTTTTTTAAATCCGCTTTCTTTGGTACAAATGTGTCTTCTATTTCTCGTATATCTACTCCTCATCAAAGTGCTGCATATACAGCTAGGGTAGGTTAAAGATGGCTGGAAATTCTCCGCCACTCTTCCCATCAAGAAATGGAATCTATTTACCCTCTCCTTGAATCTGGGTTACCCCTGTGATTCCTTTGACCAACAGTACGCCATGGAAAGATGCAGAACAAAGTCTGAAGCTAGGCCTTAAGAGATTTTCAGCTTCTACTTTCATGCTCTGAGAATACTCTCTGAAAACTCTGTCACTATCTACCCTGCTGGTAATCCAACTACCCTGCTAGAGAGGGCGGCCATGTGGACAGCCTAGCTCCCAGCTGAATTAGCTGCACAGACGCCATCTTGGACATTCAGGTCCCATCTGAGCTTCCAGCAGAATGCACCTATGAGTGAACCCAGCTGATGCCATGTACAGCAGGAGAACTACTCTGAGCCTGACAGAATTATTAATTTACAGAAATGTGAACAAATAAAACACTTGTTGTTTTAAACCACTAAGGCTCAGGTGCTTTGTCACAAAGGAATAAATAACTGAAACAACAGCAGATGCTTGATAAACATTTACTGAATAAATGAATGAGAAAAAAAAAATCACCTGATTAGGACACTGAATGCGATGATACTTCTTGATATCTGACTTCCATTTATGTAGTACTTCCTGGCTGAATGTAGGAAGCCCAGGGCGAGTATATTTTAACTACAAGAAACAAGAAACGTTTTATTGGAGGAATCCAGCTTCAAACCAAAACCCCCCCAAAAGTTTCACACCCAACTCTTCAGGTTATATAATTCTGGAGTTCCACAAGTATATTTTCATATATAAAACAATTGTAATATGTAAGACCCTTTAAAGTTCCTGAAACTGGTAGGTATAATTGTCTATTGTTTAGTCTTAGAATAGTTTGATTTTCAACAGAGGGCAGGAAACTTCCTCTACAATTGGAAGAAAAAAAAGCTAGTGACAGAGCATTATACAGTTAAAATATTTGTTCCAAAAAAAGAGAGACGGGGGGCCAGCCGAGTGGCTCAGTTGGTTAAGAGCTTGCTCAAGGGTGCGAGCTCTGAGCAACAGGGTGGCCAGTTCAATTCCCAGCCCAAGCTGAGCTGCTGCTGAGCTGCCAACAGGTGGCAGGATGGCTCAGCTGAAAGAGAAAGAAAAAAAAAAAAGTATCTATAGTAAGAAAGAAGGGAATATGAGAAAACAATGTATCTGATCATCCAACCCATAAAAATACAGAAATGATACATCAGAAACTACTGAGTCTGGTTATCTTTGGGGTCAGTGGGGTTGGAATAGGGTGGAAATAAAAGGGGACTTGGAACAGGATAGTTGGGTAGAGGGACAGTGACACTTCTTTGTGAAGACCTTTTCGTATAGGTAGGACTATGGTAATGTTTCACCTACCCCCGAAATAAATGAATAGTTTAAATTACATAGGATTTAGGGGGAACCCAAAATTAATGAGTGTGACATGTGAACCTAATTATTACACACGACGAACACAATGATGGGGATGGGGATAAAAAGCAACCTAAGTAAATGTACTTTGACTATATCCTTGTAAGGTTAAAGATGAAAAGGACTACACACAAATATTGTTCTCTAGTTAGTAAATTGGTTTTTTACAGGGGTATGGGTTAACAGTTCTGAAACTACTTTATGTTATACTAGGATAGAGCAAAGTAAATATCTTGTAGACAACAAGAGCCAGGTTTCTCACTGTTGGAGAAAGGAGTTACAAAAACAAGGAAAGAGGAAGGCGAGAATGAGACTTGTAGTGTTGGATTGGAATTAAAGGTATCATGGCTTTAAATATAAAGATAGACACAGAAATAAATACGGAGAGTGTGTATGCATCCATGAATACACGTACATATATACCCTTGCTCTATCCACCAACAGGGCCCAGAAGCATGATACCCCCGTAGGAATGAATACACCTAGCACTCAAATCTTGGTTTCTAAATGTATTCTCCCATAAAAGGAACCAGAATTCCTTAAAGAAATGGTTTGTTTCAAGACTAGGTCATGAAAAATGCAAGATGAACCTACAGTATCGCATGGTGCCTCAGAGAGAAAAGAAAAGCTCAAAAAAATGATAGGGGAATATCAAAAAGATACAGGAGCTCACTTCGAAGAGCTCTTGATGGCCAAATCTGGGGAAAGTTGAGCAGCAAAATAAATAATAATTGCATTGGAGCATAGACCATAGAATAAATATCCATTAGTCCATACTAATATAAAATAAGTTAACAGAAGGACACATCTTTCTCACAATGGAATGCCAATTAATAATTGTAGAAGTGATGGGGGGAAAAAATCATTAAAAAAACACCACAGTAATAACTGTTGCAGGCATTAATCATTGATGGATGCTAAAGTAAATGGGTAGAAGTATGATAAAACACAGATTAGTTATAAAGTCTCAATTTCCCCATAAAATATTCAGTAGGTACAGAGGGGAAAATTGTAATTTTTCCTATGGAGGAAATTGGGCAGCACACCCTAATCAAGTGTTTAGCATTTGCCTAAAGTAAATATAAACTAGTACATAGGAACTAACAAAGTGGATACACACTAGGCAAGGACTGTTGCCTTACAGCAGATTCCAAGACCACCCCCTCTGCATTAGCCTCTAACCCTATTAGTCTTGAGGGAGTGTCTCGGTATGACTGAGGCCCGGAAGCTCTCTCTGAGGGGTGCCTCAGGTGTGACTGGGACCTGATGGAATGATAATAGTTATCTCCCCTGGGAGGACACAGTAACAAGGTGTCCAGGGGTTAGGTGGCGTGTATGAAGGCATAGCATTTGTTGGAATACAATGGGATATGTTAATGAAAAAAGGCTTTAAGGCACAAATCATACACGGTTGCTAATTGACAGCAGTTTTACTTCTTTGAAAATTCTCAATAAAAGCCAGGCGCTGACCCGATTCAGCGCTCAGTCTTCTCTGGCTGAGTCCCTTGGTCTAGCTCTTATCTTACTTCTGTCTCTTGTTCTTATTCAATCTGCGTCGCTCCTCTCGAGACCCATTTGCCCTTGCCCTTGCCACGCAGAACGTGACAAAGGACTAAGCAAAAAACTAGTCTGGAAATTCAGGTTCCCTCCAATAATTAAGAGGCTCCTTAAGGCACTTCTGAAACTGACTGTTCCTCTAGGACTACATGAATTGAAACACTGAAGCTCCATCAGAAGTACTCCATCTCCAAGGATAAAGACACAAAACACTGTCTATCATGTACTCACTCAAGTGCATCTACTTTTCTGCATGTAGTAAGCACAGTACCAGACACAATCCTTCCCAATTAACACAAGCTTCTACTTTACCTTCCGATCATCAGGTACCAGATCCTGAAGAACCTTCCTCTTAGGCCATTCCTTGGCCAGTTCAGCAGAGGCCAGCTCCTGCAGGTGGTATACAGCTATCTTGGCAGAACGCCTCTGAACTCGGCCCCCACTCTTTGAATCCAGGCTCATCTCCTTTAAGCATTCTGGCTGTCCTGACTCTGGAAAGAAGGAGATCTGCAAGAATGAGACATAGCAGAACACAGACCTGAGAAGTGGCTTCCATCAGAGCCAGTGACTGAAGGCTATCCTTCCTGCTCAAAATCAAGAGCTATTTATTAGCTTGCTACCTACTAGCATAAAGCTCCAGTAATCTTAATGCACATTTTACTGGTAAAAAAGCTTCTTAGCAGGATAAAATCTATTCTGTTGTAATAAGTGAAAGTGGTTGAGTCAACACATCCATATGGAAAGAAATGAACCTTAACCCATAACTCATAATATATACAAAAATTAACTCAAAATGGATAATAGCCCTAAATGCAAACAATAAAACTTCTAGAAGAAACCAAAATTTTTGAAAATTTTGTGATCCTTGGTGTGATTATTTTTTTAATTTCTTTTTAAAATAGAGTTGATGTACATATATTAAGAGTGTGATGATTTTGGGGTTTTTTTTAAGATTTTATTGGGGAATTGGAGGAGGGGAACAGACAAGTTGCTGTCCTTTTGTTCTTCAGTCTAGTTGTGGAGGACATCGCTTCACTGGCCCTTGTTGGTATTATTACACTCTGCCCAGGTGAGGCAGATAGGTCGCCGGGCCCTGGACAGCCGCTCATGGTGGCTCTTGGCAGCTCACTCAGGCTGCCAGCCGCTCACGCCGGCTGCCAGCCACTCACGGTGGCTTTACAGCAGCCCACTGCAGCCTATGCCATCGCCGGCGATTCACAGCAGCCCAGTTCCAGGTCGAGCTGTTGTTCACCATCTTAGCTGTAGAGGGCGCAGCGTCACTGGCCCTCACGTGGGATCCCAACCAGGGCCCTGCTGCTCAGATCTGGCGTCCCAAGCCAACTCCTAACCAACGTGCCACTCGGCCGGCCCTGATGATGTTTTTGATGTCTCCACTTGGCTAGGCTACAGTCATCAGTTATTCAAACACTAATCTAGGTGCTGATGAGAAGGTATTTTGTAGATCTAATTAAAGGCCATAATCAGTTGACTTTAAGTAAGAGAGATGAGACAGAAGAAAAGGCGGGAGAGATTCAAAGCACGAGAGACTCAATACTGTTGCTGACACGAAGAGGAAGGGGACGATGAGCCAGGGAGAGCAATGGCCTTTAGAAGCTGAGAACCAGTCCTGGCTCACAAGCAAGGAAATGCGGTACTACAACTGCATGGAACTGAATTCTTGAACAATCTTAATGAGCCTAGGAACAGATTCTCCCCTTGACCCTCCAGAAAGGAACGGCATGACTGACACTTTGATTCCAGCCTGCTGAGGCTCCACGCAGGGGAGCCAGCTGAGCTGTGCTGTACCTGGACTTCCGGCCCAGTCAGCTGTGAGATAACACAGTTGTGTCACTTAAGCCATTAGTTTTTTGGTGTGTTTTGACAGCAGGAATAGAAAATTATACATTGGGTTGGTCAAAAATATCTTAGCTACAACAAAAGCATTATCTATAAAAGAAAAAAAAGATAAACTGAACTTTATCAAAACTAAGAACTCTGCTCGTTGTGGGAATGCAGATTGGTGCAGCCGCTATGGAGGCTCCTCAAAAAATTAGGAACAGAATTACCATATGACCCAGCAATCTCTCTCCTGGGTGTCTATCCAAAAAATCTGAAAACATTTATTCATAAAGATATATGTGCTCTGATGTTCACTGCAGCTTTATTTACAGTGGCCAAGACATGGAAACAACCCAAGTGTCCTCTGATAGGTGATTGGATAAAGAAGATGTGGTATATATACACAATGGAATACTACTCTGCCATAAGAAAAGATGAAAAAGTGCCATTTGTGACATTTGTTGAGATTATTGTGCTAAGTGAAATAAGTGACAGAGAAAAAGTCAAGAACCATATGATTTCACTGATATGTGGGATATAAAACTGAAAGCAACAAATGAACAAGACAAAGAAAGAAAGAAACAAAAACTCATAGACACAGACAACAGTTTAGTGGTTACCAGAGGGTAAGAGGAGAGGGAGGTGGTAGATGAGGGTAAAAGGGGTCAAATATATGGTGAAAGAAGAAGGAACTGATTCTGGGTGCCGAACACACAATGTGATATACAGATGATGTATTACAGAATTGTACACTTGAAATCTATATAATGTTACTAACCATTGTCACCCCAATAAATTTTAATTTAAAAAAAAGTGAAAAGAACTCTGCTCTTTGAGAAAATATTTGCAAAACGTATCTGATAAAGAGCTTGTATCCAAAAATGTAAAAAATTCAGAATATATTCAAAACTTAATAGTAAAACAACAAAAACTCCAAAATACAATGAACAAAGGATTTCCATAGATACTTCACTAACGAAGACATTTCACTAAAGATAGACATTGCCAATAAAGCACACAAAATGATGATCAACATTATTAGTCATCATTAGTCATAGGGAAATGCAAATTTAAATCACAGTAAAATACCATTACATACCTATTAGAGTGGATTTTTAAAATGAAACTGACAATAACAAGTGCTGAAAAAGATGCAAAGTAACTGGAATTCTCATCCTTTGCTGGTGAGAATGCAAAATGGCACAGCCACTTTGGAAAACAGTTTGGCAATTTCTTATAAAGTTAAATACGAGTATATGTTTATCATATACTTATGACCTAGCAATTCCATTCCTAAGTATTTTCCCAAGAGAAATTAAAACTTATTTCCACACAAAAACCTTTAAGTGAATGCTTATAGCAGCTTTATTCATAACTGCCAAAAAAATGGAAACAAGCCAAAAGTTCTTCAACTGGTAAATTGATAAACAAATTGTGAAACATTCATACAATGGACTCCTAGACAGAAATTAAAAGGAATAAGCTAATGATACATGCCAACATGAGTGAATCTCAAATGCGCTGTGCTAAGTGAAAGAAGCCAGGCTCAAGAGGCTCCCTACTGTATGATTCCATTTATATGACATTCTGAAAAAGATAAAACTATAGGGACAGAAACTAGATCAGTGGTTGCCAGGGGCTGGGGGTGGTGAGAAGAGCTGACTACAAAGGGACACAAGAATTTTGGGAAAATGATCAAATTGTCTATATCTTGATTGTGGTGTGGTTACATGGCTATAGTAATTGTAAAAACTCTTATAACTGTACACCAAAAAGGGTGAATATTAATTACCATATGTAAATTATACCTTGAAACTTAACTCTAAAAAACAACATGAGGTGGGGGAGTATAGAAATGTAACCAGGAAAAAAAAAGTCAAGACAGAAAAATTGGAATACAGAAACCAGCCTGACAGATTCCCACAAAAGTTGAAGCTAAGGGGAGATGCCTTAAGCTTTAAAAATACAATAATGAATTTGCTTCTGCCCAGACTATACAATGAACTTTGATTTCTCTAAACTAAGAATGTTCAAAAGGCAGAAATAAGAGAACAAAGGAAGAGAGAACAAAAGCATTCAAAAGTTAAACGAGGATACAAATGAGGAACCAAATATGTATGAGAAGTAGGGGTAAGCAGTTACCACAGAATATATCCCCAAACAGGGTCTGGAAAGTAATCAGTACTCACAGGCCCATGCTCTGACCTCAGGTGATACGCAAGTCCAGCCTTCGATCTATATGGCTTTCCACAGTGGTGACACTTCAGGGCCATCTTCTCCAGCTCTGCAGCCCCTTTGCCACATTTTCTGACATGGTACAGATATCCCATGATGCTGGTGAAGCTACTAGAGCAACTCTGAACACAGGAAAGAAAGAACCAAACGATAACCTGACATTTTTTTACATGACCTCTCAATTTCTCAACAGCCACAAGGCACTGAACCATCACTCCACACACATTGACCCTTGAATATTATTAGACCCTCTCCAACATTTCCCATTGGCACAACCCTTTCCTGTCCCTGACCCAAAGGCTGTCCTATCTACCACCAAGCATTTAGTCAACATTCAATAAGCTAGAACTGTGCACCTTCTCCTCTGTGTCAGAGCTTCCTCCTTAGTCTATGATGCAATTCCACCCAGGATGGAATACCCAGCAACATCAAAGTTCCTCACAGTGAGGATCCTCTTTATCACACCAAAGAAAGGATGGTAAAGAAACCCCTTCCAACAAGGAAAAGAAGAAAAAAATAAATTTTTGGAGATGAGAACGAAAACAAAGCGCTCTTAATGATTCAGAAGACCTAGAAAAACAGGTGACATTCTTACGCTGGAAGATGATACAGAACCAGGTCTCCAAGGGAGGAGGAGGAGAACGGAGGAGAATAACAGAAAGACATGGACCCAGGACTCCAGGCAGAAGGAGCTGCTGTCCTTGGCTCTTACCTCACGCATGCACCTGAGCTTTCCCAGTCTCTTTAGAACCGTTCGGAGGCGTTCCCTCTCACTTGGCTCATCTATTTCATCTCCCGCCTTCAAAATGGGCTAGAAAGTAAGAAACGCAAACAAGCAGATGATTCATGGAAAAGGCAGATCCAGAAAAAAAATTATATCACAGAAGAATCAAGGGCTGGACTAGCACCTAAGCTGATGCTCATGAAGTCTAACTTATCAGACTCCTGGCTTTCTGCATCTTCTCCTACACAGGCGAGGAAGTGCCTGTGATGAACGTAAGAGTTCTAAGCCCCTTCCTCCCCGGGTAGGAACCTTTGGGGCTAACCTAAACACACAAATACCTATGTATCCACCACAAAGGTTTCACTGGATGTAACTCTTCTATGAAAAGGGTCTTCTTAACCCCCTGTGAAGTCCCAGAGCCTGAGCCATCTCCCCTGAGTTATCTACAATCTACACTTATTTAAGACATCAAACAGCAAGTAGGCTCATATAGGACAGAAGGCACTCTTACCAAACTATTATGATTTGCCATGACGTGATACTTCATCCCTGCCAGTGAACGAAGCTGTTTCCCACAGTGATGGCACGTAAACATTTCCTACAGAGAAAAAAAACCACTCAGGTCCAGACTGTTCAGAGAAACAGACCGTGACAAAGGCCTACTCCAGTGTTGTCTATATCTCCTTTACTTCCCAAACCCAATAGTCAATGAATCTCAAAACCCCACAAGTTCAGTGTCATATCCTCAAGGGCAAAGAAGTAAAGGCAACTCATTTTTAAAAAAAATAAGAACTACCATTTACTGAGTGCCAACATTGGCCAAGTAGGAACAATGAGGTAGGAACTTGGCATGTATTCTTTCTTTCTTATCCTCTCAGGGACTACACAAGGTAGTAATTATTTTATCTCTGTTTTATAAATGAAGAAACTGAGGTTCACACATAAAAAGCCAAATGACAAAACTAGTTAAGTAGCTGAGTGAACATGCAAATCCAAGTCTGTCAGACTCCAAAGCCTATGCTTGCCATATGACACAATGATGCCTCTTCCCCACAGTAATTAGCATATCCAATACAGAGCCAGCTGTCTAGTTGGGTAAAAGATCATAATATAACTGTTATGAAACGCCGCAAAATATCTAACCTGTTTACAGTTTTCCATGTGTTTCTTTAAGCCTTCTATGGTCTTCCTCCCCACTGCCTGGCAGGTAGGACAGGAGACACTGCCTTTGTCCACAATTTCTAAGTACCATTGCTCCTCTAAACTGCCTACAAAGAAGAGAAGGGAACACAGTATAATCTGCAGTAATCTCCAGAAACCAAAAAAGCACAATCCCAGAACTTTGGCAAAGTATCACAAAATGGTTTTCCCCTTCCTTGATACATATAACTTCGAGAAATAATTTTTTTCTAACTGAAAAGTTTCTGAAAGTCCTAATCAATTCCCCATTATAAAACCATCTAAGAAACATCCAAAGCCCAAGGGCTTAAACAACTGGACATTTTTTTCCCAGCGATGTTTACATAAAACTGACAATAGGCAACATTTTTCATAGCAGCATATAGTGATGGGGTAGTGAAATATGTAACAGCCAATGTGCTGAGTGCTGCCCTGTGTGCCTGAGGCTTTATTAAATGTTTTTATCCCATTTAATTCTCACAATTCTGTCTACCTTTATTATCCCTGTTCAGAGACAGGGAAACTGAAGCTTGCCTAAATTAAATAAATTGAGGCAGATCAGAAAATTGATGAAGAGTCAAAACTTGAACAAGGATCTGTCTGACCTCCAAACCCACGCCCTTACCACCTGCTTCCTTAAAGAAATGCTTCGGCACATCATTCCTGTACCAATAACAACAACAAAAATCAGAATGCAAGAACTAGATCCCACAAAGCTTCTGACAGAAAGCATACCTGCTGCATAGGCTGGTGGTTCCTTCCGAATACGACGAGCCTGGGGTTTGGGATTAGGCTGAGCTTTAGGCCGCTGCTTCCTCCCTGACACAAGACAGAAACTTGAAGCCCAGCATATCACCTTTGCTAACCCTCTCTGGTACCTAAATCCCTTCCCTCCTCTTCTCAACACCCTATGCCCCACCCCCTCAACCAACTGACTCCCTTAAGTCATGACAGAAGGATAAAATAAGGCAGGATGGAGGCCACGCCTAGCCAAAATATTCAAAGGGCTCAAAAATGCTTCAAGGGGCAAAACCTGAGGTCTCTCTCCCTCAAATAAAGCCCAGGCACCGAGGTAAAATGAATTAGTGAAGTTACGCCCTTACCATAAAGCTTATGCTTCTTCTGAGGAAATTCTCGATAGTCTTCATCTTCTTCCTGCCTGGGTTTCCTTCTTCCTTTGGTTGACACTCCACCTGACCCTGAAATACCACCCAAAAACAGAAAAAAAACCTCAGCATGGTTTATAAGTGAACATCTGGGCCTGCCTTCAAAACATTATTCACGAGACCATCAAAGGGAACGACCATCAGCAAGCAGGGGCCTCACAGAAGAGTGTCTGTGACCTTTTCAGGGAAGTTGGTATCACTTTTTATTAACTGACTCAGCCTCCCCTTTCTCTTTTATACTGCTCTCCATCCCAAGTGATCGGTTGTTCCCTGTGAATAATAAGGGCCTTTGGGCAGGGTGCTTTGTTTGATCTTGATTTGAGGCTAACACTGAAGCAGGACTGTTCAAGATAAAGGACTACTAAGGACCCTTGAGACTATGACCACCAAGAAAACTATACCCAGAATAACCCTTACACCAGCCCCTAAACCCTCAACAGAGAATCAAACTAGAACAATGGAAAAGCAGTTCAAATCATGAAGAGGAAAGACAGATACCAGTACAACCTAGCGGAGTGAAATCAGCACCATTTCAATCTAAAATAGAGGGACATGTGGTACTTAATACTTTAAGAGCCACTTACAAAAGCTACCTTAAAATATAACTTTAGAGAGTGCTCTGTCTTTGGACTAAGACACTAATACCTTCAACATGGGGAGCAGCAGCTGGCTTGATTCTTCTCATCTTCATCCAGTAGGTAGATTTTCGGAAGGATGCTGGGAAATCACTCACTGCTTCACACGAAGAGGCAGACGATGAGCCACTGAAGGAATCATCGTGAGGAATAGTGTACTGGAAACTATTATCCTTTATGGAGCACTGGGTCCTGCTACTAATACGACACAAAGATATATACCCCAAAGGAGGGTCTACAGTAAGGTTCCTATTAATTATTTTATATCATAAGAAGATAACCAACTTGGTTACAAAAAAAATAAGAAGCCTGATAATAAAACAGAATTTAAAATGTAATCATCAGTTACAACAGTTGATCTAACACAATACGTACAACTATTATTATACTTCAGTGTAATCAGAAAGAGTAAGCAGTCCACATACATGATCATTCTGCAGCCCAAGTAGGCATTCCTTACTAGATTCATCAAAGAAAAGAAAGTAGTCAAAGTAATAGGGTGTCCTGTGGTCAGAAGATCCCCTGGATCTGCAACCAGGCATGTCCATGCCTTCCTAGTTCTCTGACGAGACAGTAGCTAAGAAATGTATACCTCAGAAGAGAGAAGGAAAAAAAGTTTTTAGGCCCTAGTCTGATCTATCTTCCTTCTTCCTTAGCCTCTTCCCTAAACCCTGATGTCAGGGCCACCCTATTTTACTTAGGCAACAAGACACTTGGCTCCCATAGCTAAAGGAATGGTGCCATCTTGTCTCAGTCAAGCTGGCCAGGTAAGTCTGGTATACAGTTGGATCCAAAGTCCCAAATCTAAGACCAGTCAGTGTGTAGTTAACAAACATTACTGAGTAACAGCAAAGCATCTTCTAGTGGCTCAGGAAGTCGCAGAGCAACAGTTCTCAAAGCCTGAGGTCCATGTTAGACTAATGCTTTAGAAAGGTCTCTCTGTATGGAAGAATACCCATGGAGGAAGAATGAATGAAGGAAAGAGCAGCTTGTTGAAATCTTATGGATAAGGCATGATGAGGGTTTGAACTAAGGTTATGTAGTAAAGATGCTAAGCTGACAGATTCATAATAACACTTGAGAGATAAAGCTGATAAGAATTACACACAGGTTTGTAGGAGCTGAGAGCTGGAAGAAACGCAGATGATCATGCTTAGGAAAATATGTAAATAAAATGTGATCACTGGGCCGGCCGAGTGGCGCGATGGTTGGGAACTCGCTTGGGATGCCAGAGGGCCCCGGTTCGGATCCCACATAGGAGGGCCAGTGACACTGCCCTCCACAGCTAAGATGCTGAACAACAGCTCAACCTGGAGCTGGGCTGCCATGAGTCGCCGGCGGCGGCGTAGGCTGCAGCCCCTGTGGCAGTGGGTTGCCATGGGCTACGGCGTGTAGCCAGCAGCCAGCGTGAGCGGCCAGCAGCCACTGTGAGCGGCCGTCCAGAAGCCGGCGACTGATCTACCTCGCCAGAGAAGAGCACAATGATGGTGCCAACTTGGGCCAGTGAAGCAACGACCTCCACAACTAGATTGAAGAACAAAACGACAGCAACTTGTCTGTTCCCCTTCCCCCAATTCCCCAGCGCTGTTCCCCTCCCCGCAATTCCCCAATAAAATCTTTAAAAAAAAAAAAAAATGTGATCACTGCCTACTATGGAATATCAGGTAGTTGTTAGAAGCAATAAACCATTTCTACACAGAGACATAAACATAATTGAAAAGCATATTGTTGAATGAAAAAAGAAACAAAACAAAATCTATAGTACAAGGTCAATTTAATAAATTCAAAACAAATACACATGTAAACAACACTAGCTATTTTACAAGAATTCATAAATATTAAGGGTAAATATCAAACTTGTTAACATGTTTGTCTATGGGAAGACGGGATGGAAATAGGGATAAAAAACAGTAACAAGAACTAATGATGTCAGTATGCTATGAACAGGGAAGAACGATTTTCAGCTATTTGCACATGAGGTCCAATAATACAAACTTAATACACAGAAGTCCTGGTTCTGACATGGTGACATAAGCCCACCAGAGCCTATTCCTCCTGCTGATTACAAGTAAAAACTCTGGACTCTGAAAAGTAAAAATCAGAGATTGACAGAGTAAATAAAAAAGCAATACCCTACTATATGCTGCCTCCAAGAGGCATACACTTTAAATATAATATAAAGACATATAGATTGGAAGTAAATGGATGAAAAAATTAAACCATGCAATCAGCAAACACAAGAAGGCTGGAGTGGCTATTTTTAATATCAGATAAAACAGACTTCAAGACAAAGAGTCCTGCCAGAGATAAAATGAGACACTTCACAATGATACAAATAACAAATCATCAGGAAGACATAATTACCCATTGTATGTGTCTATAATAGAGGCTCAAAGTACACAGAGCAAAACTGATAGAATTAAAGGGAAACACAGACAATTCTACACGCTCAGCAGAAAATTTCTCCTCCTCTCAGCAACTGATAGAACCAGACAAAAATTCAGAGAAGACATAGACGATCTGAACTGCACTATTAGCCACCTTGCTCCAGTTGACATTTATAGAACACTACAATATCCAACAATTACAGGATATACATTCTTGTCAAGTGTACACTGTGCATTCACCAAGATAGATCATATGCTGGGCCATAAACTTTAAATTTAAAAAGATGAAAATTACACATGTATTCTCTGACCACATCAGAATTAAATTAGAAATCAAGACTAGTAAGATATCTAAAGGAAAAAATTTTTTTTAAAAATCTGGAAACAATCAACTTCTAAATAATTCATAGGTCAAAAATGAAATCACAAGGGAAATTGGTAAATACTTGTATTTTGAAGTGGTTAACAAAAATGCACATATCAAAATTTGTGGGATGCAACTAAAGCAGTATTTAGAAGGAAACTTAAAGCTCTAAATGCTTCTATGAGAAAAGATCTAAAATCAATGACTTACGTTTTCATCCTAAGAAACTCTAAAGAGAAGAGCATAGTAAATAAAAGGAAAAACATAGTAAAAAGGAGAAATTCATGAATTGGAAAACATACAATAGTGAAAATCTGGCTCTTTGAAAAAGATAAAATTGACAACCCTGTAGCTACACTGATCAAGAAAAAAAAAGGTACCACAAATAGCCAATATCAGGAATGAAAGAGGAGCTATCACAGATCATACAGACATTAAAATATTAATAAGAGTACTCTGAATGACTTTATGCCAATTGACAAATTAAGAACAAATTTCTTGAAAAATACAACCTACCAAAATCCACACAAGAAAATGAAAATCTGAAAAGCTCTATCTCTATTAAAGAAATTAAATGTTATCAGAATCTTCTCAAAAAAAAAACTCCTGGCCCAGAAGTTTCCATTGTTAAATGCCATTGCAATAAGGTTTTTATAAAAGGGAGGAGGAGGGCCTAAGGATCAGAAGGAAAAATGTAAAACTGACCCTACTTGCAGATTATGTTTGCTTACAAAGAAAATTCCAAGAAATATACACAACAATTACTAGAACTAAAAATGAATTTAGCAAGTGGCAGGATACAAGGTTAACACAGAAAAATCAACCGTATTCTTAGATACTAGCAACAAGCAACTAGAAAATGATTTTTAAAAATAATACCATCACAGTAACATAAAAAAACACATAAAATACCTAAGAACAATTCTAACAAAAGATACGCAAGACATTTACAATGAAAACTACAACACACTGGTGAGAGAAATCAAAGACCTAAATAAATGGAAAAATACAGCATACTCATAAATCAGAAAACTCAGTATTGTTAAAATGGCAGTTCTCCCCAAATTGATCTACAGATTCAAAATAATACCAGTCAATATTCAAGCATGTTTTTATAGAAGTTAACTGATTCTAGAATTTATATTAAAATGCAAAGAACCTAAAATACACAAAACAATTTTGAAAAAGAACAAGACAGTTACCAAATCTAACTTCAAACTTACTCTAATACTATAGTATCAAGACAATTTAATATCAGTAAAAAGAGATATATACGTCAATGGATCAGAATAAGGAAAGTCCAGAAACAGACACACACATATATATATGTTCAATTGACTTTTGCCAGAAGTGCCGTAACAATTGAATAGGGAAAGGAATGTCTTTTCAACAACTAGATATACAAATGGAAACAAATTAACATTCACCCTTAAGACACACCAGGCACAAAAATTAACTCTAATAAATGAAGTCACAGACCTAAGTGTACAACCTATAAAATTTCTAGAGGAAAATAAAGTAGAAAATCTTTGTATTTAGGGATGGCAAAGGTTTCTTAAATAGAATATATAAAAAGCATGAAACATAAAAGGAAAAAAATGATAAAATTTAAAACTTTTGCTCTTCAAAAGACGCCATTAAGAAAATGAAATGCTTCTGAGCAACAGCAGTTCGAGTCCAGCCTGAGCTGAGCAGCCGCTGAGCTGCCAACAGGTAGCAGGATGGCTCAGCTAAAAAAAATAAAAATAAAAATAAAAAAATAAAAAAATAAAAAAATAAGAAAATGAAATGCAGGCAGTCCACCTGTCGTGAGAGTCTGGTAATTCCAACTTAAACGTGAGTCGGCATCGGGATAGCTCCCGTTGCTCATATCCGGAGGTCCGCGGCATCTCAAACTCTGTGACACGTTGATGCTGGCTGTGCGTCGGCGGAAGCGGAAGTGGGCTGTGGATCCAAGAAACAGTGCATGGAGTAATGATGATTCCAAGTTTGGCCAAAGGATGCTGGAGAAAATTGCGGTGGTCTAAAGGAAAGGGTGTAGGGGCTCAAGAGCAAGGAGCCACGGATCACATAAAAGTTCAAGTTAAAAATAACCACCTGGGACTTGGAGCTATGATCAATAATGAAGACAAATGGATTGCTCATCAGGATGATTTTAACCAGCTTCTGGCTGAACTGAATACTTGCCATGGGCAGGAAACAACAGATTCCTCAGACAACAAAGAAAAGAAATCTTTCAGCCTTAAAGAAAAGTCCAAAATCTCCAAAAACCGTGTTCATTATATGAAATTCAAAAAAGGGAAGGATCTGTCATCTCAGAGCAAAACAGATCTTGACTGCATTTTTGGGAAAAGGCAGAGTAAGAAGTCTCATGAGGATGACTTCAGATCCGCCACTCCAGGTGGGAATGAAACCTCCACTAGGACAAGTGCCTTCACCATCCAGGAGTACTTTGCCATCCACATGGCAAAGCTAAAGAACAAACCACAGGTCACCGCTGCAGAGCCAGAGACCCAAATGGAAAGGAAAAGGGGGAAAAGAAGAAAGAGGCAAAAGATAAAAACGTGGAGAGTTATACCCAACCCAACACCAAGAAGAAGAGAGACCAAGTTGAGCAGCAGCTCATAGACCCTCACTGGGATGAGAATTCTGATGCTTCTGCTGAGGATGGAGTGCATTGTGTGTGGCCACTTGGGAGACCAGAACGTACCACCAAAGCCCAAAAAAAGGAGAGAAAAGAAAAAGCTACAGGAGCAAGTTGAGGCAGCAAAAGCTGCTAAGCTAGATCAAACACCAGTGAAAAGTAAGAAGAAAAAGAAGAAAGGTTCCAAATAAAATTCTCTCGAGCCAGGACCTTCTAGCCACTCAGACAGCAGGGCACTGCCAGGGAAACAGACACCTTTGGCCTGAAGTCAGAGTGGAGTTCACACAAGAGTTCGTGCACATCTTTTAACATGCTGGTGGATTGCTGCGTCCTGCCCTCTCACCACATTTTTCCCTAATCATATTCCCAAAAGAACTTTTTAGTGTTCCAAATCATGGCTCGCATAAACAAATTTTTTTTTAAGACTCTGAAAAAAAATTAAATACAAAGAAAATGAAATGCAAACCACAGGCTGGAAGGAAATATTTAAAACACATATATCAGACAAAGAAACTGTATTCAGGATATATTTTTTTTAATACTACATTTAATGGGCAAAGTTATGAACAGACACTTCACAAAAGAGGACATATGACTGGCCAATGAGCACATGAACAGATGTTCTACATCCTTGTTCATCAGGAAAATGCGAATAAAAACCACAATGAAACACCACTCTACATCCATTAAATTAGCTAAAATTAAAGACTTACTCTCATACACTGCTGGTCGGAATGTAAAATAATACCACCATTTTGGAAAACAAGCAATGTCTTATAAACATACTCCTGATATATGACCCAACCATCTTAAATGGTAAATACCACCTTGGTAAATAAATACCATCATTGGTACTTATCAAGAGAAACAAAAGCATTTTTCCACACAAACTTGTACATGAATGTTCTTAGCAGTTTATTGTAATACCCCCGAACTGAAAATAACACAAATGTGCATCAACGCAGATGACCAAACACATTATAGTATATCCACAATGGAATTCTATTCAGCAATAAAAACTATTTTCCTTTCAAAATCACTATTCTGCATGAAAGAAAACATGCAAAAAGGCAACATATTATATGATTTAATTTATATAAAACCCTAGAACAGGGCAGCTGGTTAGCTCAGTTGGTTAGAGCGCAGGCTCGTAACACCAAGACTGCCAGTTCGATCCCCGCATGGGCCACTGAGCTGCGCCCTCCACAACTAGATTGAAACAACTACTTGACTTGGAGCTGATGGGTCCTGGAAAAACACACTGTTCCCCAATCAAATGAATGAATGAATAAATAAACAAACAAACAAATAAATAGATAGATAGATAGATAGATAGATAGATAGATAGATAGATAGATAAAATGAAAATTTAAAAAAAACAAGCTCTAGAACAAAGTACTGTACAGTGGTGTCTGGGGACAGGGATAGAGGAATGGATTGCAAAGGGGCATGAAAAAACTTTTGGGCAAGATGGAAACATCTTGACTGTGGCAACAGTTTCACAGGTACTTACATATATCAAAGCTGATCGTATGGTATACTTTAATATGTGCAGTCTACTTTACTTCAATTATACCTCAATAAAAGTATTAAAAAGTTTTTAATGGGAATTGACAGTTCTCTAGGGCCAAAACCCACCATCTCAAACAATGGGAACAATCTGTACTAGAAAGACTTGATAGTATCAACAGGCCATTAAGAAGAGTCAAGTCTCCAACAGGCCGGGTGGCTCAGTTGGTTAGAGCGTGACGTGAGCTCTGAGCAAAAGGGTTACCAGTTAGATTCCCACATGGGCCAGTGAGCTGCGCCCTAGCTGAGCTGGTGAGAGTGCAAGCTCTTAGCAACAAGGTTGCTGGTTGGCTCCCGCATGGGATGGCGGGCTGCCTCCCCGCCCTCTCCCCAGCAACTAGATTGAAAGTAGTGACTGGACTTGGAGCTCAGTTTGCGCCCTCCACAACTAAGACTGAAAAACAACAACTTGACTTGGAGCTGATGGGTCCTAGAAAAACACAGTGTTCCCCCTCCCCAACACTGTTCCCCTTCCCCAATTCCCCAATAAAATCTTTTTTTTTAAAGATTTTACTGGGGAATTGGGGGAGGAGAACAGCGTTGGGGAATCAGGGAAGGGGAACAGACAAGTTGCTGTCCTTTTGTTCTTCAGTCTAGTTGTGGAGGACGTTACTTCACTGGCCCATGTTGGTATTATCATTGCGCTCTTCCCGGGTGAGGCAGTCACTCGCCAGCCATTGGATGGCCACTCACGGCGGCTCACAGCAGCTCACGATCACACCAGCTGCCGGCCAGCCCCACTGCAGCCTACACTGTTGCTGGTGACTCACGGCAGCCCAGCTCCAGGTCAAGCTGTTGTTCACCATCTTAGCTGTAGAGGGCACAGCGTCACTGGCCCTCATGTGGGATCCGAACCAGGACCCTGCTGTTCAGAGCTAGCATCCCAAGCCAACTCCTAATCAATGCGCCACTCAGCCGACCCCCCAATAAAATCTTAAAGGGAAAAAAAAAAAAGAATCAAGTCTCATGTGACTCCTCTTAGGAAATTGTCCTCACAGAAATTTTACTGTCAGTGTAGGACTCAGATATAGCCATATCTCCCAGATAGAGCCATATCCCCTCTCATGAATAAGCATGAGCATAGCAAAAAATCAATAGTTCATATGATCACCATAGTTACCATCTTGGGGTTTAAGTCAACATGGTTAGGGAATCGCCTCCCTCCAGGTCTCTGTCTTTTATTTTTAAAGGATTCAACAAAAACAATTCTCAAGTATTTTATACTATCTATAGTTCTTAAAAACAAGATTAACCTCAAATTCCCTTTTCCATAACTATGACACGAAACAGCTTTGGGTTCAAACAATGACTATCATTAATTGTAGTGCCTTTATAATTCGTTGTCTGTGGCACTAGCAGTCTTTGCTTCTGATCACAAAGTTGAAAAGTTTAGCCTATTTTCAACTTCTTTCTGATGCACCTAGAATTTTTAAGAACCCCTAGTTCACTCTCTAGGTGCAAATATTTAGATTTCATTAGCAAAGTATTTTAGTTCATCTCAGTATCCTTTGCAGCCTCCTTTTATTCTACCCAATCCTTAAATGCTGATATTCTCCGTAGTTTCACCCTCTACTCTCTTCTAGTCTCACTTCTCACCAATGGTTCAGATTTCACAGTCTCCTAGGGAGCCAGTTAAAAATAAGAATGCAGGGGTGGCCGAGTGGCTCAGTTGGTTGGAGCGCGTGCTCTGAGCAACAGGGTTGCCGGTTCAATTCCCACATGGGCCAGTAGGCTGCGCCCTCAGCAACTAGAATGGCAACTGGGCTTGGAGCTGAGCTACGCCCACCACAACTAAGACTGAGAGACAACAACTTGACTTGGAGCTGATGGGTCCTGGAAAAATCACACTGTTCCCCAAAACGTTTTTAAAAAGTGTTTTTAAAAAGAAAAAAATAATAAAACCTACCTGATAGCAATATATACTTAAAAACTAAATAAATAAAATTAAAAAAAAAGAATGCCAACACCCTAACCCCAATGATTCTGATTCAGATTAATAAATGAGGGCCCATTAACCTTTATATTTTTTAACAATTACCCACTTGCTAGCCCATTAAATTGTTACCTGTTCACACCCTAGTCTCTCTTCTAAAGAAGTACCTTTTCTTTCTGACTAACTGCATTATTCCTTGACTTGCAAGTTTGTTTAAGAGTTACTTGCTCTGCAACCCTTCCATTCCAAACCATCACTCCCCTTTCCCAAACACTATATTAAATTCCTTTTTAAAAATACTAAATTACACTGTTGTGTTGAGTTACTTGCCTATCTCCCCTTGTAGACTGTTACTTCTTTGTTTTTCATGTCCGTATATCTAATCTACTACACAGCTGGCACAAGGCAGATATTCAGTAAATGTTATCTGAATGAATTAATGCTTTCCAATGGGTGTCTAGTTAACAACAATCATTTTTGTGTTAACAAATATGGAAAAGCCTAACACATTCAGTACACAAAATAATATCCCAGTCTTGAAGCCAAGTAGTTTGAAAACACAAGGATTTCTTACAGTCATTTTTATCACTCCTTCCCGGGTTCATCAATATAGTCATGAGTATATAAATGCAGATCTACACTGTGTCATACTTTCCATTTTCATTATAATTCGTGTTTTTTTGCAAGCTAGGTTTTTCTCTAGGTTTAGACTTGCATTGACCTATCAGGTAGACAGACATTAGCTACAGGTGGCTATTTAAGTGTAAGTTAATTAAAATTAAACACAATTTAAAATTCAGTTCCTCACACTAACCGCATTCCAAGCACTCAAAAGCCGTATGTGGCTAGTGGCTACAGTACTGCCCAGTGCAGACACAGAAAATTTTCATCATCACAGATCGTTCTATTGGGCAGAGCTGGCGACACAATTATAAATGGACCTCAGAATAACTTACTTCTTAGCTCCTACGATCCTTGTGCTCCTCTGCTGCTTAAAGGATGTGGGTCCCGAAGTCTAGCAAACGCAAGCACATGAGTGAAGGCTACGGACCTCTGAACCTTGACCACAAAAAGACAAATCCCCAAGTGCCCAGAATAAATGAAGCTCTCCCGGGGCAACTACCTCAAACGGAAGGCGGCATGACTTTTTAGGAAAAGTGTGCCATCCTATCTTCCTACAGAGTCACGGCAGGTGACAATAGCAGAGCCTTCATCTCCCGCATTCTCAAAGCCCTGTCTGGACTGAGGCTCTAAAAGGGAGGCGAAAAGGAAGGACTAACCCTGGAAATGGAAAAGGAATAGAAACTAATGGCAATCTGGCAAGGAACGGAGTCCAAGGAGGTGGGGAACAGGCAGTGGAAAGTGGGGGAGAAAAGAGGGGACAAGTTAGATCTGACCTAGAAGGGTGGGGCCTACGATGGGCTCTGATAAAACCAACTGGGAGCCTGGGACAAAAGCGAGGGACCGCGTGTTACGGGCTCGCGAGCGCTACCCCTGAAGCATATCGGTCAAACCGAGGAACTCACGGCGGGCACTGCACCGAGTCTGGAAGACATCACTCCCTCTCCACGCCTAACAAATTCACCCAAAGGCTCCGGCCAGACCAACGCCACTTCCGTTCTCCTCTCCCCTCCCGGATGTGGAGTCGGCGCCGCCGATCCCCGTTCTGAACGTTTACTTCCGCTTAGCGGCTTCCGAGGGGGCTGCGGCCGGAGAGAGTCACGTGACGAGTCACCCTCGGATTCCTCTGAGACCCCGCCCCGGGGTTGCGCTGTGAGACCCCGGAGACTGTGCGTGGAGGTGGAGCTTTAACCTGGCCTCAGGATCCCTCCCCTCGCCTTCCAAACGTATGCACATCTTCCGCCCTGGCACCCTCCGTTCTCCACCCAGCACAACAAGTAGTCTTTTCAGATGCACAAGGAGATCAATTATTGCCCCTTTATTTATCTTAGACAAAGTACAGGCCCATTCCCGCCCTCGCTTCCCCCCAGGTAGACGAGACAGAGAAGCTCTTTCATTGCTGAGGGCGCAAGAATTGGAGGCTGTGGCAGAGGAGGAAAGAAGCCAGGAAAGCGCAGCTCGTTGAAGACTTGAGCAAATACATGAATAATGGGGGCGGGACTCTTCTCATCTGTTTAGCTTCAGGGCTCCAAACTTGCCCAGCTTTGGGGTTTTTGTGGGTGGTCCCTAGGAGACAGGTTGGAGTGACTCTCAAAATCTTGAGACAAATGATGTCTGGGCCTCTCCCTAGGGGAGCTGTGCTGGTGTCGCTCCTTAGAGAGACTATGATCGGTTCTCTCAGAGGGACTTCTGTGGGTTTTCTCCAGCAGACTGTGTTGGCTACTTTCAGAGGGCCCGTGCTGTCTTCTCTCAGAAAGAGTGTGTCCTCTCCTCGGAGACAGACTGCGACGGCTTTTCTCAGAGGAACTTCGACATCTCCTCTCAGAGGGACTGCGCCATCTCCTCTCAGAGGGGCTTCGATGGCTCCTCTCAGAGGAACTGCAATGGCTCCTCTCAGAAGGACTTTGATGGCTCCTCTCAGAGGGAGTGCAACGGCTCTTCTCAGAGGAATTACAGGTTGTTTCCCTACAAAAGCTGTGGTGGTTTTGTTTCTTACGTATGAGTTTCTCTTTAAAGTGACTGCGTGAGGTTCTCTTCATAGAGGAACCATGCAGGGTTCTCCCTCGCGCCTGAACTCTGGTTCTTGTTTTGGAGTTCTTGGACTCCTGGTTAGAGATTTCTTTTCTGTAGAAGTTTATCTTAGGTCTGCTGCTACTGTCATTTTGAACGGTACCCAACGGTTGTCTGATTGTGGTGCTTTTGAAAGTGGCACTTCTTTGGGAAACTATGAGCCTGGGCGCTTGGAAAGAGCTCTCTCTTTTGGGTTGTTGAGCTGATCTAAACTGGTCTGTTTCTTCCCACAACATGCTGTCCTGCTTAGTGGTTGGGTCTGTTGGCCTTAGCTTGACAGCTGGCACCCTGTCTCTTTTGATATCGCTTAGTGAGCAATAGTCTCTGGCTTTTTGTTTTGGATAATAGTTTTTGCTATGATCTGGCTTTCTCCTGTCCTCAGGCTTCTGCCCAATGAAAGCCTTAATTCTGTGTGCTGTTTGGATTGCCTGCGTTAGGCCCCGAGAAAGCAGTTGAATGAATTTGGGTTGGGAGGATTTCTTACATGGTCTTTTTAAAGAGGCGGTAGTTGTCTGAGATGCTGCACTCCTTTTCCTTCTTAACTGGGCTGGTAATTCCGCAGAGGAGCTCTGTTTTATGGTTCTACTCTGGGTGTAGAACTTTTTGTTTTGTGTTCTAATTCCCTTGGGGATTCTTTTCATTGGATATTTTGAATCACAGGTCTTTTTGATTCTCATTGTAGCCCATTTTTCATCCTGATTGCTTTCCGAGTCACTCTCTGATAGAGAGTGAACTTGGGTGAATTCGTAGTGCCCAGGATCTCCAATATCTGTCTTTCCTACTAGGTCAGGGCTGCCACATTGATTTTGCCTAATGTGGACTTGTACAGGAGCAAGGGACTGGGAAGACCCAGACTGGAAATCTATTGTAGAAGTAGGACTTTTGGAAGCTCGAGTACGGATTTTAGCTTTCCGGAGTGATGGTGATATAGGGCTCCTTGGTGTGATAAGTCTGTCTCTTCTAGGATACTTTGGTACTTGGGATCTTTTCCCAGTTTGCAACCTAAAGCCAAGATGCAGTCTAATTTCTCCATGGCCTTCAGGAGTGTTTACAAGGTGGAGCTGTGGAAAGATAAGAAGATAAGGCCTCAAAGTGGCCTGTAATTTATGACTGCAATTAAGGTCTGAACATCGGCCACACTGTAAGCAGATAGGATATTTTAGGAGCAGACCTGATGCTGGCGGTGGAGGTACATTGAGGGGCATTTGACTCCTTAACAGTTTTGCTGCTATTTTTAACTGCAGGTTTTGTAGCAATTGGAACTGTTCTGAGAAGTCAGTCTTGGCCTGGGAAAGGTGACTTGACTTGAAGGAGTGCTGGGACTCAAAACTCCTTGTCTGTGAATCACTCTGTGAGTTCTCATTCTCTTCCACTGGAACAGGATCTTTCATAGTGAAAAATATATTGAAGGAAGACTCTGACTTTACTGGGGCAGGAAGCTGGCCCCTTGTACATGAAACAGGCATGTGCGGAATGACTTCACAGGATATATCACTGAGGTTTGAGCTTGTTTTCTTTATTCTCACTCTTCTTCCAGAATATTGCTGTATTATGGAGGACAAGGAACCACGTGTCCACATCCTTAAGGCCACTCTTTTCTCATGACCATGGCATGAAGTATGTCTCTGAATGTAGTTTTTGACCACTGAAGGCTGAGAAATAATACCTTGACCCTTCTCTAGCAGTCTCTGGGAAAATTCCATCAATTCAGCAGGAACCCCAAATAAATTCTGAATAGATTGACAGGTATCTGCAGTGGTTCTTTCCGTTACAGATGTTTGAGAACAAAGCTTCCTTTCCATCATGGTCCCCAAGACATTCCCCAGCATTAGCATACTAGAGAGATATTGTCTAGGTAGTCGCTGCCTCCAGGAGTGACACTCGCAGACATTCTGTTGTCTGCCCAGGACCGACCAGGGAGGGCCTCTTCTAGTCCCTGATCCTACCTGGAAGGTCCTAGATGATCTCCAGCTTTGTGGTGGATGTTGGAAGAGCCCCTGGAGTGAATTGTCCACCACCTGGTTCCTCTGATTCCTCTCCTTAGGTATGACATCCACTCCTAGCATCTCAGAATATGGGGTCTCTACAGTGTTAGCTGTCTCATTAGAGGGTTGATTGTGGAAAGACAAGGGAAAGGTTGAAGATTGTATCATAGAAGGGACTACAAAGGACTCCTCAGGCTGCAAAATATCTGTCCAAAGGTTTTTTATATCCAAGGCTCTTGATACCTCTGTCATCTCAGAATTCCAAAGGTCTCCTAATTCAGATGTTGTTTTGACAGAGCTTGAGATGACTGAGTTTGAAGAATTGTGTAAAAACCTAGAGAAATAACTCCTTATTTGTAACTCTTCTCCTGATGTTAACACCTCAGATTCCCTATTCTGATAGATCTGTCTTTGATTCAAATCTTCAAATTCCATGGGAACTTCAGGAGTTCCTATTTTTATCCCTATAGATTTCACAGCCTGAAGCCCTTGATCATGAGTCAACACCATAGGGTCCTCTAATAGAGATGTTGGCTGTAAGGTTAATTCTGCAGATTTCACTTCAGTATTTGGCCTTTCAGTTAATTCTATAGGTTTTACCAGTTCTTGAAGATGTGACCTTGGGAGTAAATCCAAACAATCCATTACTGCAAGCCCCAATCCTAGAGCTACTCCTATTGGTTCTACAACCTGAGGAATTGGTCCTGGTGCTAATTCCTCAGATTTTACAATTTGAAGTAATGGCTCTGGGATCAACACAGTCTTCACAATTTGAAATCCTGCCAACTCCATTACTTCCAAAATTTGGTGTGTTGGCTCTGTGATTAATTTCTTAGATTTCACATTTTGCAACCACAGCCCTGAGGTAAACTCTGAAGGTCTCACATCTTGCAGTTTTGGAGTCAACTCAACATAGTCTGCCATTTGAGAGGTTGGCCCTGATATTAATTTCACAGAATTTACAACTTGAAGTGGTGGCCCAGGAGTCACTTTCACAGGATCTTCAACTTTGGGGGGGGCTACTGGGGTTACCCCTATTGATTGATCAACTTGAAGCTGTATCTTTATAGATTCTGTGGCCTGATCTAGTGGCTTTGGACTAATCCTCTTAAATTCTGTAATTTGACCCAGTGGTCCTGGGACTCTGTCTGCATATTTCACACTTTGATTTTGAGACTGTGTTAGCCCAGTTGATGCCTCCTCTTGCTGCCATATCTCAGAGGGGAGCTCTACAGATTCTGCATGGCCCCCAACTTGTCCTGTTTGCTTTGGAGGCAACTCTAATGATTCCTCCCTTTGAAGCCATTGCTTAAAGGTCAAACCCACAGATTCTGGGTCTTGATGTCGTAACCCTAATATTATCTCTGATGATCCTACATGATGCCGTGACTTTGGGGTCAATTCCTTAGATTCCCCCACTTGCAACACTGTCTTAGAAGTCAACTCCACAGATTCAGGAACTTGACATCCTAGCCCTAGAGTCATCTCTGAAGATTTTGGGACATGATATAATGACTTTGTAATCGATGCTACAGATTCTTTCTTTTGCAGCCTTTTCTGTGAAATGACCTCCACAGATTCTAGGACTTGAGGATAGGGCCTTGGAGATCTCTCTGCAGAGATCTCTGCTTTACTTATTGACTTTGGGGTCATTTCAATGAATTCCTCTTTTCGTAACCTTGTCTTGGAGGCCAACCTCATAGTTTTTGTAATGTGATGCTTGGGCTCTGGGGCCATCCCTTCAGATTCCACAACTTGCTGCAGTGGCCTTGTACGTAACTCCCCTGAATCCTTAACTTGAGGCCACGACTGAGAGATCAACTTCAGAGTTTCTGGGATTTGATAGCTTTTCTCTGGGGTTAATTCTAAGGATTCTGAGTCTTGATCCTTTAGCACTGAAGTCAGATCAACAAATTCTGGTACTTGAGAGTACCAGAGCTCCAGAGGCATCCCTGATGACCCCATGGCTTTACCTGTTGGCTTTGGAATCAACCCCATAGATTTCTCTGCAATTTCTGTACCTTGATGTGCCAACCTTTGTGCCATTTCCGAAGATTCCGTGCCTTGATAAATTGGCTTTGAAATCAAATTCACAGATTTAGGGACTCGATGCCTTGGCTTTGGAATCATCTCTGCATGTTCTGCAAACTGATGCCCTGGACTAGGGGCTACCTCAGAGGAGTGTGTGATTTGAGAGCTTTTTCTTGGAGTTAGCTCCTCAGATTTCACTCTTTGAAGCAGTGACCCTAGTGCTAACGCCACAGATTTTATAGGTTGCTGCAGAGACGATGAAGATGATTTTGTGTGTTTTATATTTTGCAACTTAGGTTCTGGAGTAAACTCCAAAGATTTCACATTTTGTTGCTGTGATTCTGGAGACAAATTTGAAAATTTGACATTAGTCGGCATTGGTGCTGCTATAAACTTATTAGTTGGCTCTGGTGCCAACACTACTGATTTTACACCTTGCCATCCTGAAGTCAACTCTTGGCAATTCATGCCTTGCTTTTGGGACCCCGACATCAACTCTACAGGTTTTACTTCTTGAAAATATCGCCCTGGTGCAAAAACCTCAGATTTAACACATTGTGTCCTGAGACATGATGACAACCCTAAAGAATTCACACTTTGAGGTTGTGAGAATAGATCTGACTTCATAGATTCCACATCTTGAGAAGATGGCTCTGGTATGAACACCTCAGATTTCTGCCTGAGGCAAGAAATCAACTTCCTAGAATTCATATCTTGAGGTTGTGGCCCTGGATTGAACTCCACAGATTTCTCTTTTTGAAAACATGACTCTAGTGCAAACTCCTTACATTTCAAGTCCTGCAGCTCAGAGCCTGAAATCAGTTTCACAGAATTTGCAACACAAAGCAATGGCTCTTTGTTCATCTTCACAGGCTTCACATCTTCAAGCAGTGGCTCTGGTAAAAATAATGCAGACTTTGTACCATTTAACTGAGGGCCCAAAACAGATTGCCCAACTTGTTGCTCTGACCCAAGGTGATTCTCTAAAACTTGGACTTTTGGAAACTTTGTCCCCAGAGTTAACTCAGAAGATTTTACACCTTCCAAGGGCAGCCCAGAGTTGTTTCCTAGAGAATCTACACATTGTGACTTTGACCCTGGATTCAACTCAGAAGAATTTACACACTGCAACTGTGGCTCAGTGTTGTATTCCATAAAATGTATACACTGAAGTTGTGGCCCTGGATTCATTTCAGAGGATTTCCCACCTTGTAACTTGGGCTCATGCTTCAATGCCAGAAATTGCTCATCTGGAAGCTTCATCTTGATGCTCAACCCAGATCTTATCTCTTGCAACTGTTGCTCAGGATTGAATTCAGTAGATTTCACATCTTGAAGCTTTGACCCTTTGCATACTTCTGAAGATTTTGTATGTTGTAAATGTGGCCCAGGATTGAACACCATCAATTTTACACTTTGAAGCTCTGGACATGGATTCAACTTATAAGATTTTTCATCTTGCCCCTGCTTTCCAGCGTTGAACTCAGAAGATACAATACTGTGAACCTTTGATTTCAAGGCCAACTCAGAGGGTTTTGCAACCTGAAATTTTGGGCCATCATTGACTTCTGTAGAGTCCGTTATTTGAAGTTTTATTGGCTCAGGAGACTTTGCACCTTGCAACTTTGCAGTAGGGTTGAACTCCATAGATTTCACACCTTGAAGCTTCCTCCTCTGGGTTAAGTCAGAAGATTTTCCACCTTGTAACTTTGGACCATGGTTGAACCTTAAGTGGTTCACATCTTGAACTTTTGTCCCTTGAATTGACTCAGGTTTTTTACTTTGCATCTGTGGTCCAGAGTTGAAAAATGATTTTATTTCTTGAAACTTTGTCCTTGGGGACTTTTCAGAAGACTTCATACCTTGAATGTGTGGTCTAGAACTGGACCCCTTAGATTTTACATCTTGAAGCTTTATACCCATAATCAGGTCAGAACATTTTATGTCTTGTAACTGTGGACCTGAGTCCAACTTTACAGATTTCACACCCGAAATCTTTCTCCCCAGGGTAAAATCAGATTTCTCACTTTGTAACTTTGGAGTAGGCTTCAATTGTACAGATTTCACACCTCGAATTTTTTCCCTTGGGATCACTTCAGAAGATTTCACACCCTGAAAGTGTGGTCCAGACCCGAAATTCATAGATTTTACATCTTGAAGCTTCATACCCATGATCAACCTAGAAGGTTTCATATCTTGCAACTGTGGATGTGACTTGAATTCCATTGATTTCATTTTTTGAAGCTTTGTCCCCAGTCTCAGCTCAGATGATTTCACAACTTCCAACTCGGGACTGGGGCTGAATTCTTTCTGTTTTACATCTTGAAGCTTCGTCTCTGAGGTCCCTTCTGAAGATTTCACACATTGTAACGATGACCCAGGGTTGAAATCTATAGATTTGACACCTTGAATCTTTGTCCCTACAGTCAATTTAGAAAATGTTATACCTTGCAACTGTGAGCTGGGGTTTGACTCAGTAAATTTCATATCTTGGGACTTTATTTCAGATGGCAACTTAGAAGATTTTATACCTTGCCACTGTGAACCAGAGTTGAAATCCTCAGATTTCACTCCTTGACGCTTTGTCTGAAGAGCAAATTCAGAGGACTTCATACTTTTCAAGTATAGTAGGGAGTTCAATTCTACAGTTTTATTACTTTGTAATTGTGACCCTTGGCTTAATACCCTGGATTTCACCTCAGGAAGCTGTGGTTCTTGTGTAAGCACTACAAAGTTTACACCTTGAAGCTGGGTTCCTGGGGATGACTGTAAGGGTTTCACTTCTTGAAGCTGTGGTCCTGGGGTCAATTTAGGAGATTTCTCATCATGTAAGTGAAGCCTAGATTTAAACCTCGAAGTCAGGTCACATGATTTCATACTTCTACACTGTAGACAGAGTTTCATATCACAACTTTCAGGCTGATGTTTCTGGAGTGATGCTTGGAGCTCTGGATTTTGAGTCAGTGGAGATGACTTCATATCTCTTAACTGTACCAAAAGTTTTAACTCTGCTGGTGTGACACATTGAGATTGGGACCCAAGATTTAGCAGAGATTTCACACATTGAATCTCTGGTGCAGGCATCCACTGAACATATTTCACACTTCTAAGCTGTGGCTCTGATGTTGATGCCAATAATTTCCCTTTTTGCAGTTGTGGTCCTGGCGGCAACTCAGGGGTTTTCACACTCTGCAACTGTGGCCCAAGACTGAAGTCCATGTATGTTGCACCTTGAATTTTGGGCCCTAGAGTCAATTTAGATGACTTCGCATCTCTTGACTGTCTGAAAGATTTCAACTCTGCAGATTTGACACTTTGCAGTAGTGACCCAAGATTTAACCCTATAGATTTCACACCCTGGAACTCAGGTCCTGGTATCCACTGAATACATCTCATACTTTCAAGCTGGGGCTCTTGTGTTAACTCAACAGTTTTCACCCCTTGAAGCTGTGGTCCTAAAGTTGACACTGAGGGTTTTACTTGGTGCAAATGTGGTCCTGCAGTTAACTTGGGAGATTTTATGCTTTGCAACTGTGGTTCTGGTTTAAACTCTTTCGATTTTACACCTTGAGTATTTGATTCTGGAGTCAATGCAAATGATTTCATACCTTTCAACTGTAATTCAACATTGAAGTCTACTGATTTTCCATCTTTAAATTTTAGCTCTGGCATTAACTCCAAAGACATCCCATCTTCTGACTTAGACCCTCTCTCCAATTGCTCTGAGTTCACACATTGCTGCTCTGGTGAGATTACAGATATCTTACCAACCTGTTCTGGCCTTGGAGGTAAAGCCACAGATTTTACTCTTTGAAACTTTTGTATTCTGGTTACATCCATAGGCTTTACTACCTGCTTCTTTAGCCTTGGTGTCAACTTCACAAGTTTTACACATTGCAGCTCTGGAGCTGAAGTCTCCTCTACAAATTTTAAACTTGGAAGCTTTAAACATGAGGTAATCTCCACAAATGTCATGTCTTGCACTTGTGACTCTGAAGTCAAGTCCTCAGGTTTCACACCTTGCAATTGAGGCCCTTGGAGCAATGGCCCTGGTGCATAAGGCACAGAATTCTCATCTTGCAACTTTGGTCCAAGTTTTAATTCCACAGCTTTCACATCTTGCAGTTGTGTTCTTGGGACCAACTCCACTCTTTTGAATTCTTTAGTGCTTGAATGCATAGTCAGCTGAATAGATTGCACACCTTGAAGCTTGGAATCTGGGGTGACTTTCACGGATTTGATATCTATTTGTGGCCCTGGGGGTATCTCCACAGATTTCTCACCTTCCAGCTGTGGACTAGGGGTTAGCAATGAAGATTTCACACCTCTTAGACATTGTTCTGGTGTCAAGGCCACATATTTCACATCCTTGAGCTCTGATGCTGAGATCACCAACTCAGATTTTGAACCTTTCAGTTTTGAGCCTGGGGTCAGCTCCACTGGTTGCACGCCTCGCACCTGTGGCCCAGCAGTTAACACCATAGATTTGACATCTCCCAATTGTGGCTTTGGTGTTAACTGCATAGATTTCATACCTTCCGAATGTGACCCTGGGGTTAAACCTACAAATTTCATATCTTCCATCTGTGGCTCTGGGATTAATGCCTCAGATTTTAAACCTTGAAGCTTTGAGATTGATGTCCATTTCATAGGTTTTACATGTGGGCCGGGGATCAATTCAGAAGATTTCATACCTTGTAACTGTGGCCTTTTGGTCAGCTCCGAATAGTTTACACTTGGCAACTGTTGCCCAGGAGTCAACTCCATAGATTTTATATCTGCTATCTGTGGCTCTGAGACAAATGTATGAGAAATGTCACGGTCAAAGCTTGACATTTGGCCTACCTCTACACATTTTACACCCTGAAACAGTAGCTCTGGTACTAACATCTCAGGCTTAACCCCTTGCTGTTCAGGTCCTGGGGTCAACTCCATAGATTCTACTCCTTGCATATTTGGCTCTGGGGTCAGCTCAAAAAAGTTCATACAGTGTAGTTGTGGCCCTGATTTTAACTCTGAAGATTTCACACCTTGAGGTTGAGTTCCTGATGTCAAATCATGAAATTTAACATCTTGTAGCCATGGCCCTGGGTTAAGCCCCACCTGTTTCATACCTTGAAGCCCTGGAGACATCTTTGCTAATTTAGGATCTTGAAGCCCTAACTCTGGAGTCATCTCCACAGAGTTTACACCATGAAACATTGATCTTGGGGTTTGCTCCCCAAATTTGACACCTTGAAGCTTTGGCCCTGAAGTCAATTCAGATAATTTGACATCTTGCTGCCTTGGCCCTAGGTTCAGTTCCTCAGATTTCACACCTTGAAATTGTATTTCTGAGATCAATTTCATAGATTTCATGCTGTGCAATTGTGGTCCTTCAATAGGTAGAACAGATTTCATATTTTCAACTGGGAGCTCTGGGTTTAACTGCAAAGATGACTCTGTAGGGTTTGTAAACCCTACAGAATTTATATCTTGAAGCTGTGTTCCTGGTATAAGCTGCACATGTTTGAAACCTTGATGCTTTGGTTCTGGGGTCAAATCAGAAAGTCTAATATCTTGCAAATACGGTCCTGAGTTTATTTCCACAGATTTCATACCTTGAGATTGTGATTTAGGAGTCAACTGTACAGATGCAACACTTTGATGCTTTGGCTCCGGAATAAAATCTGACAATTTGATTTTTTGCACTGGGGCACCGGGGGTCAGTTCATCAGATTTCATACCATGGTGTGGGGGCCCTGAGATTAAAGCTACAGGATTTTCTCCTTGAAGAAGTGGCCCTGGAGATAACTTTGAAAATCTGACACTTTGCAATTGTGGCCCTACAGTCAACTTCACACCTTGGAGCTGTGCCTTCTTAGTCAAGTCCTCTGATACACTTCGTAGCACTGGCTCTTGTATCAGCTTCTCAAATTCTACCGCTCCAATTTTGGTTGCCTGTTGGATTAAATTAACATATTTCACATCCTGTAATTGTGGCTCTGGATCCAACTGCCTGGACTTCACTCCCTTGGGCTGAGGCTCTGGAGTCAACTCCATAATATGTGGTTTTGGTTCTGTAATAAACTGTTTAGATCCTACCACTAATGGGGATGATTCAGAGGTTAATTTTACAGATTTCAATTCTTCCAGTGGTGCAGTTAAATCCACAAATTTATTAACATGTGTTAATGGCCCTAGAGTCAACTCCTTAGGTTTTATACCTTGGGGCTGTTGTTCTGAGGTCAATGGCACAGATTTCATACTTTGAAATTGTGGTTCTGAGATCAACTCTTTATAGTTTGTAACTTCTGTATATGGTCCTAGATTCAGATTAACAAATTTCATACCTTGGGACTCTGGGGTCAATGCCTCTGATTTTATACCTTGCATCTCTGATCCTGGTACAAACTCCAGGGATTCTTGTGTAGTATGTTGTGACACTGGAGTCTCCCCCAAGGCTTTTACACTTTGGATCTTTGTGTCAAGAGTACCTCGGAATGACACTGAGTTCATCTGTCTAGATTTGGGGTGAACCCCACAGCTTGGCCCTGGGGTCACTTCCACAGTTTCCATGACTGTATGTTGTGGCCTTGGACTCGTCTTTCTTGGTTGTATGGCTTGATGGTCGAACAATGTGTTCACTTTCACTGACTCCATGACTTGATACTGTGGCCTTGGAATCATTCCCACTGGTTCTATGATAGGTAGATGTGGTTTTGTAATCATCCCCATAGAATCCATGACTTGAAGCAATGCTGCAGGAGATATCTTCACATTATCTGTAACTTGATTCCACGGTTTTGAGGTCATCTTCTTTGATTCCATACCTTGATACTGAGGCCTTGGGGTTACCTCCACTGATTCAATGACTTGATATGCTGATTTTGAGCTTACACTCACTGTTTCCATTGTTTTCACTGGTTTCACAACTTCATTTGACTGTGAGAACAAACCCACGGATTCTATCACATCTGAATGTGATTCTGGGATCATCCCCATTGAGTCCATGACTTGAAGTAATGCCAATGGAGTTACCTTTATGTTATCTCTGACTTGATGCGGTAGCCTTGGAGTCAACTCCACATTAGTCACTTGGGTCTTAGGCTGCTGTATGCTTTTTGCTGGAAGACCTATAACCCTTTGCTCTATACTAAGCTCTAGAACATGTTTTGGGTCCTTCTGCAGTAAAGTGGTTTCCTTTTGAATTATGTCAACTCCTAAACTCGTGGGAGGTGGCTTACTCGATGTAACTAAGGTTTTGGATCCAATGATTTGGTGTCCGTCCCCAGGTTGTGACTGCTTACCTGGGATAAGTGACTGTGAAATTTGTGTTTCTGTTCTATTTAATCCAGATTCTACTCCAATGTTCACATGGAGCTGAAATGATGGAAAGTCTGGGGATTGACTGTTAATATTCTGCTCAATGCTTTGATGAATGGGCATAGATAACTGGATTTGGGGTTTCTCTGGTTCAGGGACTCCTCCTTGCACTTCAGTTAAATAATTCAGAATCACCCATGATTCCCTCACAGGCAGAGGTACTGTTTGTTTCCGCAAAGTACAAACCTTCCAAGCTATATGACCCTCTAACTTCCACCTAGTCAAAGGAGAGAGTCGGATTGGAGCCCACCCTGGGAATTGTGGCCCCTCAAAAATAGAATTTGGCCGATGATCTGATGTCAAATGATTGTTGCTCTTTCTCTCATCCTTTGTTTTCACTTCTTGTTCACAGAAATCTGGGGATTTAAAAAGAGAGTTGATAAAAGAGCTTTGAGTTGTTAAGGGTGAAAGAGCTGCTGAATTCTGAATGAGTTTTGATTTCCCCAGCTTTGAGAGGCAAAAAGGAGGTAAGGATGTGCCTTGGTTCTTGAACACAGATGGTTGCTTTTTGGATAAAATAGGTAAACTATGGCTTCGGAATTGCGGGGTTGTTCCTTCAGAAAAGACAGACGGGTGAGACAGGCTGGAGCTGTTGCACAATGATTCAGAGGAGGTGCTGTAGTTCATAGAATGTTTTGCCTTCCTACAGTCACAGCTGGGTAGGACAGGCTCCTGAGCCACAAAAACAGAGGAAGTGGAGGAAGAAATCATATCCTGTGGGTCAGGCAAACACGATTCCATAAGAGTTGATCTAAGGGATAAAGACAAAAGTTTTGTTTAGTTTTCAAGCAGGAAAAGGTAGGGGGAAAGATAATGACCATTACAAATGCAAATTATTTTCGCCTGAGGAAGAACAAAACAAACAAAAAACAGGTAGCTTTCCATAACATCAATTACTTATGGAAAGAATTCCTCCACCAGGACAAAGGGAGGCATTTGTCCCCATTCCAATCAGAAATGATCCATAAACAGTGGGTGTTAAACTTCCTTTGAACCCAGAACTTTCCCCCATTGCCAAATCTAACTAACTTTCTTTTCCTCCTCCATTCCTCCTTCTTTCTCTCCCTCCTCTCTCTTTCACTCCCTTCCTTCCTCCCTCTTAAAAGCTCTACCACCTTCAATCCCCACTCAGAAACTACATTTCCTGACCTTGCACTTTGCAGCTGTTGGAAGATCTGTTGAAAACTCCTGTTCATTAACCAGAACATATATTCCTGGGTCCATCTCACAGGGAGTCCTGAAAAGCTGGATGCAAAAGAGTATGTCAGTGGAATTGAAGTGATATTATCAGTACTGGTAAGGAAATCAATACGAAGAAAGACTTAACTTAGAAGGGAGACAGCTATGGTAGTGAAGGAAGTAAAAAATTAGTCCCAAGCATCTTACTCCTAACTTTTTTAGAGAGTGTATCAGTAAGATAGGCTGACAAGAGAAAGAATAGACACAGTGAAGATTGATTTTACTCACCATGTCAGGTTAGTTTCAAAGCAACCCATCCTGAGATTTTCTTTCCACTGTGGAGCTGGAAGTGAGGGTAAAGAATCCATTAGTATCATGACTATTGACATCACCTCGTCCAACCCCTTATTTTGCAAATTAGGAAACAAAGATGAAGTTATGCTCAAGATCATAAAGCGAATTAGTAGTAGAACTCGGATTTCACCTAGGTCTCAAGTTTGTTTTGTAAACTGCCTTCACCATGTGGTAGATGTAAGCCACTAGAAAGAGCAGGAATCATCACGGCAGTAGGGAGTTGGAGTGGGGGAAACAGAGGTCATAATGCATATATTTTCCTCCAAAGGAACCTAACCAGTGTCTCTGGTAGGAAAAAAAAGTACTGAAACTTCTTACACCAAACTCTTGATACAAGTTACCCCTTCTCCATTCTCCACTCTCATCACGTTTCTTTCCTGATACTTTGAGCTTTACACAAAATGAGGTGAAGAAAGGATGTATGGAAAGAATTATGGAGCCATTTATAGCTCTTTGGACATAGAGATGCTGGAAAAAATATGCACCTTTCTTTCATTTACATCTTTTTGTTTTCCAACCTCCCTCTACCCGCTGTTAAAGGCTAGAGTCTTAAATCAACCCACAGTTGATCTGTCATTAGCACAGAGCTGAAAAACAAAGGATAGGATTTTTCTGACCTGTGAATTCCTGGGTCT